CCCTTGGTCGGCAGTGTGACTAGGGAATGCAATCTGATTTTGTCACATGAAACATTCAAGGAAACAAGAATATGACCAAAATAATCATCCTGGCCAAACAAATGCATGTACAATTTCAAGCGATGGGCTCGAAGATTGAGTGGACAGTACTCACTGACCAAGCTTGTGGTGGAACTGGCGTGCAATGTCCGTGCTGCCTCTGTAGGGCGTGCGTGCTGTCGCCACACTAGACCTGGGCTACACCGTCATGGCGCGGGTGATTCATGATCGCTGTGTGCCAAGAGTGGTGACTGTAGTGTGATCCCACGAATATTCTTGACCTGCCTCATGACATTACGATGAGGTGACCCCGAGGAAAACATAAGTGCTGATACGACCTTTTCTCCCCCCGAGTCCCTTGCGCTAATCGCGACAGGTTGGTTAGCCTCATGACAAATTTGGAACAGTTTTAGTTCGCTGTTTCCAATACATTTTCAACGAGGGCACATCAGGCAGGTACAGCACGCACAAGATGACACCTATAGAATGAAAAAAAAAAAAAGAACAGGGCGACCCTGAAGCGTTCGGCAAATATAAACCTGCAACAGCAGACTGAAAAAATACATAAATGGTCACCCTTCGAAGATCGTGCCGGATCAGCTACTGGTATCACTGCCGAGATGCCTCTCTCAAATGGACCGCGTCCTCTAGTCTTATCTATGCCACGTAGGCGACGACATGAACATGTACGCCAAAACAAACGCCACACCACCTACGCACAAACATCAACACCCCGAAAAAAGAAAGCACGTTCCTAGCAGCGGAATGCTCCAGACCTAAATTGAGCACGGCGAACAGCAAGCAGTCTCTGCCTTCCTTACATTCCGTCCGCAAGTTGGGGGATGTCTGGGCCGTGGCAGCTGAACTTGTAATGCCTAACGGATACGTCGGGATCCCGGCCGCAGTACCCCCTCCGCGAGTCGAACTCCTGCGCCGACAGCACCGACTTCCTCCCCAGCAGGAACGCGTCGGAGGCTTCCACCTTTCGCCACTCCTGCCTGCCGAGGGTGCGCGTTCCAGCGGCGGTGCCTCCCCTCTCCTTCGTGAGCACGACCTTCTTGAGCTCTCTCACGCGCCTCGCCCTGCTCCTGGAGGCGGAGCTGGCCGACGACGGGCTCGCGAAAACGCTTCCGCTAACGATGACGTGCAGAACGCCTCCGCCCAAAGCGCCGCTCTTGCCGCCGGGGCGCGAGGTGGAAGGGGAAGGAGTAGCCTCGCTACCACCTCGAACTCCGGCCGACATATCTCTCCTCAGATCGAAGCACAGCTGCCGGACCGACGCCCTCTCCTCCTCGGCTGCGCTCCGGGAGGCGTCGGGGACCCTGGCTTGCGCCTGGGGTCGTGCCGAGAGTCTCGCTGAAACTGCAGGCACCGCAACTCCGACAGCTTCCGCAGGATACCTCCCAGCGGAGCCCCGGTGCTCTTGGTCCGTTGTAGCTGGGCTCAAAGCTTGGTCCCTCTTCGATTTCTCCCCTGATTTTGGGGCGGAAAGCCAAGCGCAGTCGGGGCGGGTGGGTTGTGTTGACCATTGATTGCTGTCGACCGGGGGGGGCGTCAACAGTATCTCAGGGCCGCGGGGACGTTGTTACTTGGTAGGCTATGCAAGGGACGGGGGTGCGGCGGGGACAACGTGCGCCTATGCGTATGGGACCTGGGTCCATGGTCACTGTAGACGGACCATCATAAGCAACAGGGATCGGCGGACACATGCAAGCAAACGACAACGCTGCACCTTTATGCAAAAATACGACAACGTGGGGAAACGAGTCGAACTGCAGCTTCGAGCCCAACACGCCAAGCCCCCCCGCTGGACGAGAAAAAATGGCAAAGGTGGCGCGAGAGAGACAGCAGTGACTCCGAGAGATGAAAACAAAGAGATGATCCACTTGTGCGCCGAGGGACACCAAGGTGCGTCAGGAGTTATAACGGGGCGGGGGGGGGATACCTAGGTGTGCGGGACAACTTTTCCCGCACACCCTTGGTTACCGCCCAAAACAAGTAAGGAAAAAAATAGCGGTAGCCTGGTCGCCGAGTTCGCGAAGTTTTGGGCTTGTATTACAACATCGCCGCCAAGCGACAAAGACCCAACCCCTATCGCAAACACCGGGGGGGGGGGGGG